TCACTGGCAGTTAGCTGATGTCATAAGGAGTAACCTAGGCTACTCTTATTTTAGAAAAAGAATTAGGGTTCCGTGCAAAAAAACTAAAACCCCAAATAACACGCAGGCGAAGTCGCGAGGAACAGCTAGTGTATTTATAAACTTTTAATCCTACTATGTTAAAAAGTGTTACCAACTCGTGTATTTCCAAATATACAAAAAATAAATCAAAAAATTCAAAAAAATCATGATTTTTTAAAAAAAATCAGCATGATTTGATTAAAATTAAAAAAATCATGATTTTTTCCATCCCTGCTCCTTATGATGAACTCTTTATTCAGAAGCGGCCCCACAGAAATTGGACCTGGTCGAGCCCTGACGGTTCGACAAAACATGAGATTTACTTCATTGCGACGACCAGACGACGACAACTGTTCAGTGATGTCTCATGTGAAAACTGGCAGCGATCACCGAATAGTGAGAGGTACACTGAACCTAAATGTTAAGTTGGAGAGGTGTCGTCTAATGAAGTCAACGCTCCGTCCCCCTCGTGCTCTAATCCAAAGCCCTGAAAACTTTCAGAATCGTCTCGCATGCAGACTCGACTACTTCCAGCCTTCCGAAGAAGCCGGTTTCCGAAAAAGCTTTAGCACCATAGACCACATACATAGCCTTCGGCAAATTGTACAGAAGCCCGAGGAATAAAATTTGCCAAATGTCTGGCATATGTGGACTATGAAAGTCTGTGATTCTGTCGAAATTTGGGCGGTGCTGCAGTACCTTCAGCGGTGTCAAGTTGACTGTTGGTATATCGAAGTGCTGAAGTGTTCGTACAGTAGTGCTACGATAGTTATCCGAGTACAGAATCAAAATACGAAACCTATCCAACTGCAGAGAGGTGTAAGACAGGGTGATGTTATATCCCCGAAACTCTTCACCGCGGCATTGGAAGACGTTTTCAAGCTACTGGACTAGAAAGGATACTGTAGATATTTACATCAACGACGAGTACATCACTCACCTTCGATTTACAGACGATATGACTATATCGTCTGCAAATCGAAGGTGAGTGATGTTAGATGGCAGAATCGCTGGAGGACCTAAGCACTATGCTCAAATACCTCAATAGTGCTTCCCAACGGATAGGTCTTAAGATGAACATGGACAAAACAAAGATCATGTATAACGTCCATGTCACACCTCTGCCGATAGTTGTTGGGAGCACTAAGTTCGAAGTTGTTGACGAGTGTGTTTACCTGGGACAATTAGTCCGACTAGGTATGTCCAACTTCGACCAAGAGATCAATCGACGGATTCAACTCGGCTGGACAGCGTCCTAGAAATTACGGCACATCTTCTCATTAGACATACCTCAAAACTTGAAAACGAGACTGTACAACCAGTCCGTGTTGTCAGTGATGAACTATGAAACTGAGACGTGGTCCTTCACTGCTGGCCTCCTCATACGGCAGCTGAAGGTCGCTCAGCGAGCTATGGAGAGGGGTATCGGGGTTTCTCTGCGTGATAAACTTAGAAATTAGGATATCCGCAGTAGAAGCAGAGTGATAGACATAGCCCAACAGATTAGTAAGCTGAAGTGGCAATGGGCCGGCCATATAGCTCGAAGAACAGACAACCACAACCGGTAGGGAAAAAAGGTTCTCGAGTGGCGGCCTCGTACCGGCGGACGAAGTGTAAGGCGTCCCGCCACTAGATGGAGTGACGACCTGGTAAGACATGCAGGAAGTTGATGGATGCAGGTGGTTCAGGACCGAGCTTTGTGGCATTCCTTGGAGGAGGCCTATGTTCAACAGTGGACTTGTGAAGAGCTGTAATGATGATGATGATGATGAATACAAAGCTTTGTGGTACATCGAAGGATATTAGAGTTGGTTTACTTCGGTAATCACTTATCTTACCAATTTGTTATAAATTTATTAATTTATTTAAACATTTCATAATCTTGTCTCTTTCGTTCTCAAGAACCTTTCTAATAGAACCTGAGCATAAGTGACGTTTCTCAACTAATATTTAATAACTGATGGTTAATAGTTTTTGAATAATGACTGCTCTTAAACAAACATCGTTTGCACATTCTTAATTTTCTGCAGCAAAGACTAGCTTTACGAGGTTCATCGCAGTGCTCGAATAATGCTTCATTTAGCTACCTAAACAGTTATTCGACTTAGATTCGATATAGTGCTCTGTACCTAATTGCTCATCCCATTATAATATATTGAATTATCTAATTAAAATGTAATCATTATACTACATGCTATACATATGCCTAGTGTCGAAAGTATGTATACCAACAAACATAAATGCAAAAACATTAATAATTTTAACTAAACTTATGATAATATTATACATTATTTTAGTGTTCAATGCGACTACATACCCTCCTGGTAGCAAAATTCGAAGAGGCAAACAGAAACGAAACAAAACGACGTAGCTTGCAAAGCAATAACGGGTAAAAGTACTTTAATTTGTTACTACTTAAGGTTGATTTCACACTAAATGTTATTTAACCTATGTCTTTTCATTTCCAAGTGACAGGAGTTATATTTTCCTTTTTTGTAACTAATGATCGTAAGATTTGTGACTTTATTACTGGATGTCATGGTTGTAATTGGGTTGAACATAAAATTGTTTTAATTTTTTGTCTCAGTTCTTTAGTAAACAAATGTAGCTTTATAAGTATATATTCACGCGGACAGCGTTTAGCTATGATTTTGTACGTGACCCGTTATCTAGTTGGTATTGTTGATCGAAGCTGCTGCCCGTCGTTTCCATCATCATAGCACATCGGCCGCTTTATCAGCGTGGGCTTATTAAGTATATTAAAATTATACATTATGTAAAAAAAAAACCACTCTGTCTGATCCGAAGAAAGGCATGCATTTATGTACCGCAATAACCTTAACAAAAAAAAAATTCAACATTTTACGATACTATGGATATAAATAATGTTATTGTTATTTAAAATTGTACTTCAATTTTCTTAAAATTCAGCAAATTATTAAAATCTGGCAATACTGTTACAAGCTTGTGGTTCGAGACAGTTAAAAACTGCAGAGTTAATTACCAAAATTGACACCTAAATTACAGAACACTAATTACAACTTTAAACCACACTAATAACAAAACACAATTGTACTACTGATCACTTTAGTTCGCAGTTGTATCGCTTGTATCGTCAACTCAACACTGACTGGGTCGCTGTCTATACCGGCCTTATATAGGGCCACAGATAATTTCCAGAACCTTCTACTGTAGAAACATCTAGAATGTTCGAGTACATACCGGTCCCGACTGACTAGGTGTATAGTACAATGACGTTACAATATACGTGGTAGAGCCATGCTGCATCTATATTAGTTACTACTAAACTTACTACTTAAACTATACTTAGTTGTAGAACGAATGGGTCGGCTCGACCGGGGAAGGACCACGCTCTCACAGAATTCCAGCGTAAAACCGCAGCTTAATGCTGCTGTGTTTCGTATGGTGAGTGTACAGTACCGGAGACCCTTTTTACTGGAAAAGAGGCGTTCCATCTTAGTCCTCACGGGTGACAACGCATTCTCAAACGAGGATAGATGTACATGTCTATGGGCCACAGAAACCACTTACTATCAGGTGGACTGTGTGCTCGTTTGTCACGCTATCCTATAAAAAAAGGTGTCGATAGTTCTAGAAAGTTCTTCCATGGAAAATTCCAGTAGTAGTTCTGCTACTCGATACTAGAGGGCGCTAGTAGTAACTAGTGTTGCCATGTACCAGGCATTAATGGTGACGCTCAACAATACCATCATCGGCGACGGTATTTATTATTTGGATATTATTGCCCAAAGTTTCGAAATTTAATAATATTTTTAATTAAATATTAATTATTTACGGGTGTAGACCGAAAGATAGATGTAAAAAAAGAGAACACAAACGCCACAATAGAACAAACGTATTATTGTCCAAAATTGACACAGTTAAAGGAAAACGTTACTCTAACTCACCGCCGCCCATGAACAACTGCAACACCAGGGGAATCGCAGATGCGTTGCCGGCCTTTTAAAAAGGAGTAGGCTCTTTTCTTGTTAACGTTTAACACTTAGGAGAGGAAGAGAGAACTAATGAAATTAAAAATTTTATACAACCGACTACAATATAAATATGCATTATTAAGGATAACTTCAAAACTACTGGTCAGATCTTGATCGAATTTATATGGAACTACATTAGAAGCACCATCTTTCAAATAAAAAAGAATCATCAAAATCAATTCATCTAGAATAAAGTTCTAAGGTAGCACACATAAAAAATACAATGTATGGCCTACAAATAACTGTTCCGGGAGTAGATGTTTGTCCTTGTGCAATTTATGTTTGTTAACTGTCTCCACGATACAGGAGAAAATAAATAAAAGAAATACTAATACATTGCGTAACACCTCGGTGTATTCTACTATATACCAAATAATATCAAAGGATTTAATTTGTTTTCTCACAACTCCTAACCCTACGGTAGAAGCGGTCTTAACAAAGGCGCGTAACGGCCTAAGTGATACAGACACTCGCACACGGACGTAATATGCATTTTGATTTAATACGCGCGCCACATAATTTTTTTTTTCGACGAAATAAACGGTAGGCATAGTATTATGAACATTAGAGACGTTGTAACTAAGTTTAAACTCGCAAGTTTGCTATCAGAGAGTGATCCTTCTGTTCTTTTAACTATTATTTATTCTGGGAATGGAAAGTATTTTTGTAACAAAATTATACATAGTAAAATGAATTTTATGTTAATTGTGTAACATGCTAACAAGATATGACCCAAAGAAGAAATGGCGCGAAGGGTGACGTTTTCATTTCATCCATAAATAATGAACCAAAATATTTCTCATAATTTGCTTCTTCTGTCTCACAAATAAGCAATATGAAAATAATATCCGTTCAGTTATTTAGTCTAGATCTTTTGTTTGAATGGTAAAAAAGAAGAACTGTCGAATCATAAAAACGACCATAATATGAAATAATTTACTAATTATAATATGCAACAACTACATTTTAAAAATAATAACTAATATTTTAACACTGTACATATTTTTATTTCTTATATTGATTTGTCGGATCTCCACCATGAAAATCAGGGTATGTAGGAAATGACTGTGGCCCTCTTTTTGGAGGTGCTGGCAAAGAGCCTCCATCTGCTAACCTTTGAGTTTCTATTTTTGCAGCATTTTCTTTCTTCATTTGTGCTATAGCAAGATTTTTAGCAATTTCTTCTTCTGTTGGAGGCTCCTTTCTGTGAAACAATTATAAAATAATACTAAAACAAATTTCAAAAATTATGTACCTAATATATAAATAAAAATTGTAAAAACTTTTGGTGGTTATCGGAACATTTTGCATAGAAACTTTCACTGACACTAACAGTTTTTTCTATTACTGAACAAAAATTAGCTTTATACTAGAATATATTAACAATACCCTACAGAATGAATATCGGTCAAGAAGGCCAATCTTTACGGAGACTAGCCTTCTGTGCAGGACAGGATTAAAGTGCCCGAGTGTAAACGCAAGCACACTCAATATTCCCTCACTCTCATAGTCCGATTTGGACAGTAATCACGACTGGAGATAGATCAGGCGCAGAAGCAACGGCTTTACATGCTTACCGGAATACGGGGTTAAAAGTTATAATACCACCAACTTCCAAGACTCCACACTGCTAAGAACTTTGGACAGAAAAACCCAATATTTGTTTTTGATCTTTTGAAATTGTTCAACTGGGAACCTTCTAGAATATGCCACTCACATATGGGGCTTGGCTCTCGAGAACAGTGCACAGTGGGAAGCGCTTGTGAGTTCCTTTTATGTCTAGAAGGCTTTTGAGCAAGCTTACCGCGTACGACTTGTCTGCTTGTAGCGATGTTTGATATTGATTCGATTCATTGTATGATCAATTAATAAGCTCAAAATTTTTTTGCGACTTCATCCATTAATTTTAAATTGAAATAATCAATTATATATATTATTTTATGTCAACTAATCGATATTTAGATTGGTGCCTTCTGAAAGACTATTTCAGAGACTGGCCTGATTGCTACTAACATGAGAAATAAGCTGACTGGTACTCATCTTATGTTAATTTTTTTGTCATCAATAGATGGAAGTCAATGAAAATGTTAATTCAAATACAATAAATAAATATTGTTCTTTGTTTAGATTTACTGAGAATATAATATTTTGCACATCACAGCATCTATCTAGTGTATTTTAACGAAAAGCCTAGAACTTTTCTTCGATTAATCGATATATTAAATGCGGTTAATTGATATTGGCACAATTGAAATTGATTATTTCACCAAAGATTATTGATTATTGTATTAATGTCAATCATACAACAAGATAGGGAATCTTGTTGTATGAATGACATTGTGAAGGACTTTCTGAGTAAATGGTCTCTCCGAGTCGTCAAGGAATGCTCATCCGACTGACCGATTCTCTCTGCAACTCTCTACCTGCTGCAAATTAATAATGGAATAGGCTAGATCTTTCCTGGCATTGCTTTTATGTGTTTGTAAAGTTTTATTACAATTAGTTCAGCCATTACAAGATTAACCTGGACAGACAAAACTTTTAAAAATGGTTATTTATGTCTTAATAGTATGCAAATAACCCCCTGAGCTAAATAGAAGTCTTTATTTCAATATTACTGACAAACACCTTAATATTATTTATATGTATAGATTGACATGTTTCTAAAAAACTGAAATATTCATTATACCTTCTCATTCGTAACCATGATTCCCACTCAGCTGGCAGAGGATCTTGAAAATCTAATCCCTTGGGAGGGTCATACCAACGAGAGGGCTTTCGTTTACCTCTACTAGGATCAGCAGGAATTTCATAGTAAATATTTCCTATATAATCTCGACCTAAAACATGGGAAATAAAATTAAAACTTTTTATTTTTGATGTAAGAAAACAAAATTTTGCTATATGTTATAGCCAACTTCAAAAACACAGGTTGGGAAGTCCTTTGAATGATTTTCGTCAATTCCAAACTGATTTTACTACATTAACTTGTGACATTCCTTAGTCCACTCAAAAAATTTTACTTAATAAAATATAAAATCAGCTAAGACATAGTGTGTAGAAGAATTATTAAAACTCTGACTTCAAAAGCTATTACTATAAAGAATTTATTCTTTTCAGTTGTTTGGTGTACCCGAGTTCTTTAAAGTTGGCTTTTACTTTTTATAAAAGTTACATTATTAAATCTATGTCTATAATGATCCTCGTAAAGAATAAATAATGTTAGAACTGTACAGATTTTTGACCACAATAACAATAACCCAACATCAGATATCGGGTAGGGTTAGTTTCATAGACACAAAAAACAAAATTTGTGTTTTTGTAAAATGTTGCAGTCAAAGCAGGGAAATGTGGCAAAGTTGGTAAAGTAAACATTGATCACTAGATTGTTGTAACACATTATTTATTGTTAAAATTTACAAGTTGAAAATGATGGATTGGTAGCACAGTGACTAAGCCTTTGGCTGTGGTGCCACCAGTTTGAATCTCGCACAGAACAAGTATCTACAACATGAGATTTGATAGACCACAAATCCTCCCTAAACAACACCGATTTCTTCCAATGATGATTCGCAAGGCTATTGACATCATAAAACTTAATTATTTTTAAAAGAAAGTGGCTAGGTACTACCACCTGCAGGGGATCCTATAAAAATAAAATCAAATCCCAACCCAAACATACAACTATACAGCTATATATACTATAAGTTCATACTGCATAGACTGGACTAAAAAATATATGATTATTTACTTATTCCTGTCTATAAATAAAGGCAGAGGTTATTACAATACATTTCATCATTATAAGATAATCTTCAGAATTAGTGCCAGATTTAAATATAATACTAACCCATTTGGTTGCCTTGTATTTGGCGTGGTTTCAAAGAATTTAAGAGATTTCTAATTACAATTCGCCACACATGTCTATATTCACCATTTGACATCTAAAACAAATAAATCACATGAAATAATTTTATATTTTACTCCATCACAGTAATTAGTGTAACAGTTCTTAGGTGGGCCCTAGAGAGCAATGTAGCAAGACATGCTTTACATGCAATCATGCACACACAATCCTTTAATTGTATTGATTGATGCAAATGACAAGCAAACATGTAAACTATGTGATCTGTTGATTAAAAATTTGAAATTTTAAACTGAAAATAAAATACATATGATAAAATAAATTTGCCTTTGACATTTTTTTATAATATAGGATTTTGTTTAAGAATAAGTGTGACAAACAAGCACAAAGTTCACCTGATGGTAAGTGGATGCTGTGGCCCATTGACATCTACATTTATCCTCAATTAAGAATCCAAATTCAGCCCTTGAGGACTAAGATGGAATGCATCGTTTCCAGTAAAAAAGGTTTCTGGTTCTCTACACTCACCATACGAAACACAGCAGCATTAAGCTGCTATTTTACACTGGTATTCTGTGGGAGCGTGGTCCTACCCCGGTCGAACCGTCCCATTCGTGATACAACCATAATATAGCTGCAGCGTAGCTTTACCACGTAAAAAATAGTGATTAAGTCTCTGATCTATTGTCCTGAAATTAGATAAAATGATTGATCACACAGCATGTATATCCGTAATGGAGCATTGATTATTCATTCACGTAAAGCACGCATTACCGTTTAGGGTCTGCCTCTGCAATCTGCATAATACCTTACCTTATTTACAACACTGACTCGGTATTTTTTTTTTATTAAGGTGAGCTGCGAGAGTGACTAAAACATGTAATAATCTTCAAAACCACGGCAGCGATTCGTTAATTATGCATTTGCTCACTAAAAATATGTGGGAAAAACTCAACTCAAAATGAAAATTGATGAAAATGAAAAGTCTCGTATTGTTGTTGTCACAGAACCAAAGAGTATATTTCCCTATATACAATGTACTCTGTGGAGTATATGATAGTAAGTAGTATAGTGCCACCAACTTATCTGTTTAGTTGACAGAGTCGCTAGTGGAGTGCTTACTATTGCCATTTAAGAAATTTACCGAGGAAATAGGTGACTACATATTCATTACACATAATATAAAATAAAACAAATTTCGTGTTAATATATATATATATATATATAAATTATATTTATATATATATATATATATATATATATATATATATATATATATATATATATATATATATATATATATAATTTATATTTTATAAAAATAATTGTGGTCGTGGTCTCGGAGTTCAAGCGGTCGAACTCCAGGAATTCCTGTTTTGAAAGATGTACCCGCGTTAGATACTGGTTCCAATAATTCATCTTCTGAGTCACCTAAATACGTTCTAAATGAGGACACCTAAATGAGTTCATCTAAATACGCGTCTTTTAGTCTGTATTCATTTTCAATTTTTTTCACATGATTGCATATGTTTTTCCACTGCACCGGTGTAATTTTATTAAATGCATCTTCAATTAATTGGGGCATTAGAACATTAGATTTTCCAACATTTTTGTCTGCTATGTTCCTTTTCATAGAGCTCCATATCATTTCAATTGCATTCAAGTCGCAATGACAAGGCGGCAATCTAAGAATAGCATGGCCATGACTTTTCATCAGGTTATCAATTTCGTATTCCGGAGCAGGTTTATTTCTCTTTATTAATTCATAAAGCTGAGGTTTTGTCATTTGTTCATTGAAACTTACATTGTTTTTTTCAAGCCACTTCTGCATATCAGCCTTACTGTGGTTTGAATTAGGACACCTATTTACGCAAATACTATGGTATGGCGCATTATCCATTACAATGAGCGAAGGTTCATGCAGATTAGGTAGTAATTTTTCATATACCCATTTTTTGAAATTAATGCTATTCATTTCATCATGGTAGTCCCCATATTTTGTATTTGATTTAAATACGAGAAGGGCATTCTCCACAAAACCTTTTTCTCCACCTGCATGGATTATGATCCACCTATTACCTTTCGAAACAGGTTCCAAATCCAATTGTAACTGTCCTATACAGGAAGAACACTTTTTTTAACTGGCTTTACGGCTCTGGGTTCTAGCCCTTCTGAGCCTGAAGTTACAATGTATTAACTTTACGATACATTCATCAAAAATTCACTTTCACATTGATTCACAGTTTGTTTACGTTTGCACTATTGTTTAATAACACGTTGTTCTCATTTTTATATATCTTGGACACCAGATATAAAGGAGTATAATGGTCGGAAGAATTTTTCATCAGCTAATAAACTTTGAAGAGTATCAGGAACTTTATCATTGTTAATATCTTGAATGGAATTAATGAGGAGTAATCTATGCAAACCAAACTGACTGCATTGAAAAACCAGATGTTTTAGGTCTCCTTTCGTGTTTCCACAATGGCTTAGCTTTCCATTGATTCCCGTCGAGTTGGAGGTTTATACGTATTTTTACAGAACAGCTACACTATTATAAGCCACACACACAAAGTTACAACATGCGGAAACGCGTAATTTTTGAGAAAAAAGTTATTGAAAATCAATTATTCTTGCATTGTTTATGTCTAATCCTACAATAAAACTGACGCCATTTTTTTATTGTTATTGTCAGTAGGGATGTCGATTCTTTCCGAAAAAGATCGATTTTTAAATAGATTCGAATTGTAAGCTAATGTATCGATTCCCACAAAATCGATTTCTAAAATATCTAAATTTTTTTCATGTTTGCATTTATAATGTAAATATAAATCCATTTTATGAGAAAAAAATCCCCTTCATATTATATATATTTTATGAAATATAGGGGGACTGATTCAGAAGGATTTCTGTATCTATTTTGAGACTGCTACGTCTCCGGCGCTGCGGGAAGAGCAGCCTCTACGCCTTTAGCGTAACAAATCGCAGGCATTCCTCCTCGCTTCCGCAGCAGTCTTCTTTATTTTACTAAGATTGTTTAGTAAGTTTCTTATATTATATATAATGTAATTTTTTTTGTAATCCATTTTGTTAGATTCAATAGCTGTTATAACACTTTTTGAATCAGTTACAATTAGAAACTGTGAATTCGCAATGTTTTTTATGTACTATAAATTTAAGTAGATTGCATAACACAGCTGTAAAAATAGAGCATAAATTGTGAATTTTAAAAGTTTTACATATTTTCTTTTGTGAATCATAAAATGCTGAAGTTGTGTACTCTTCAGATTTTGATCCATCTATATATATTGTATAAAAGTCATTATCAGCTAGATATCTTAACATTTCCATTTGAGAATTCACTTTTTCTTGACATACAGAAACATTAATGTTCAGTAAAGCATCATATTCTATTTTATATAAAAGCCATGGTTTACTTTGATACACATTTTTGGTTTGGGTCTGTGAGTATAAAACAATCCTTAGGATGTCTGGTAATCGACCAGATAAAAGCATATTTACATCAATGTATGAGCTATCATCAAACTCAGGAACTTCATAAGGAAGTTTTTTTTTATTTAAATATTTTTATGAACTGATTAATTTAACACAAAACCGTTCAACAATTTGTAGCCTTCTTAGTAAAAGTGTAGGAATACAACTTTCTACTTCCATTACATGGATTGGTGTAGAGCACATAGCCCCAGTTATTATATGTAACGCTTTATTCTGAATTATATCTAATCTCTTTAAAATCAATCTGTTTGCATTTAAGTATGCTAATGTGCTGTAATCAAAATGACTTCAAACTATACTTTTATAAAGCATTGATAACAACTTTGGGTCAGCTCCCCAATGCACACCTGCTAATGATTTTAACATATTGAGACCCCTACAGGCATTTTCACACAGATTATTTACATGTTCTTGGAAAGTTAGCTTCTGATCAAGCAATATACCCAAAAATTTTTTTCTGTAACCAAGGCAATGGTATGTTATTATATTTTACAAAATTATCACATGTATAAAATTTTAGAAAAAATGAGAGCTCCAATTTTACTAGGACTAATGTTTAATTTCAACTTATTTGAATAAAAATCATGAATTTGCTCTAATGCTAAATTTAAATTGTTTACCCCTATATTTACATCTTTATTTACAGTATATATAAGGAGATCATCAGCAAATTGCAAAAAGCTTATATTTCTATTTCTAATATATTTACTTATTAAACATGTATATATATTATATAATAAGGGAGATATAGTAGTACCCTGCATGGTGCCTTTGTATAAATATATAGGGCCATGTAATATATTATTAAATTTAACATACATAGTTCGGTCATATAGCAAATTAAAAATCCATTTACATACTTTTCCAGGAATACCAATCTCACACATAATATTTGCCAATATGGATCAACATAATCAAATGCACTTTGTATATCAATAAATACATAAACTGTAGTTGCATGTCTGGTAAAAGAATGATTTATATCTGAGATCAAAGAGGCAAAACTCTCTGCTGCACTTTTGCCTTTCCGGAAACCAAATTGTTCTTCAGGTAAAATATTATTTGCTTCTATGTAATAATCTAGTCTGTTTTTCAACATATATTCAAATAATTTCCCTACACAAGAGGAAGGTGAAATTGGCCTGTAGGAGTTGAAGTCATGTTCTGTTTTATCAGGTTTCAAAATAGGTATCACACATTGTGTTTTCCAAGACTTTGGAATACATTGATTGTCCCAAAGCATATTAAATATTTTTAATATAGTTTTTTGTCCATTAACATGCATGTTGCTAATAAGTTTGTATGGAATATCATCCAATCCCGGAGTGGAATCTCTCCTTGATTGGATGGCTGCAGTAAATTCATGCCAAGTAAATTCTTTCAATAGAAAAGAGCTACTGTCATTACCTATCTGATTAAATATTGTATTTAAGTTTAAAATATCTATTTCCTTTTCAGAAGGTGTTGTTATGGGTGCATATTTATCTAAAAACGAAGGAATCCAATCATCATTTTTTGATGGCTTATGTATAGGTAACTTAACAGTGGTAGAGCCAGGCGGCAGCTTTTGCTGTCGCACGGATGGGCCGGCTCGAACCGGGGTGGTACCACGACCTCACAGAATACCAGCGTGAAGTAGAGGTTTACCTCTGCGTTTCACTCGGTGAGTGCAGGTGGCCGGAGGCCCTTTTTACTGGAAATGAGGCATTCCATCCCAGTCCTCACGGGTGACAACGCTTCCATATTTTGATTCGCAAACGAGGATAAATGTAGATGTCTATGGGCCACAGCAACCACTTACCATCAGGTGGACTGTGTGCTCGTTTGTCACCCTATCCTATAAAAAAAAAACCCTCTTAAATCTCCTAATATAATTCCATATATAAGTTATTGGAGTATATCTATTAAATGAATCACAAATTCATCTCCAACTTGTTTTCTTTTTTTCACTAATTAATCTCTTTTTGAAGGCATCAATCTTTTTATATTCTATATAATTTTCTATTGTAGGATTTAATTTGTAAAATCTTAAAGCATTTTTACTTTTTTTTACAGCTTCCAAACAGTCCGCGTCCCACCAAGGAACTGGTTTTCTCATAACAAACACATTAGGTTTGGAAATTATAGGTATACAGTCTTTCCTTATTTCTAGAAGTGTGTTGCAGAAGTTTTCATACGTATCAAGTAAATTTGATGTATCAATTGTGAAGTTTTCAAACTTTTTTTTGTTTCAGCCTGAAACTTTGACCAGTCTGCTTTTTTATAATTGAAACGTTCGCAAGGTTCTCCTATATCATATTTTTCAACACAAGTATATAAGTCGACTATGGTTGGATAGTGATAACTACCCATAGGATCATCATGTACATGCCAATCACATAAACGAACTAAAGAAGGACTAACACATGAAATATCGATAGAAGATTGATTAATATTAATGCTTCCTACTGTAGTTGGAGGTCCATTATTTAATATACAAAGATTACGTTCGTCTA